TTTAATAAATAGGGAGAGATATCATCAAGTCCTGCTGATTTTTTATTCTCCAAACTCTAAATTACTTTAATCAATTCAGTCTCAGTTATTTCTAATAAGACCAATGAATCTTTTATACTTATTGTACTATTACTAGTTTGTGGAGGCATCAAATTTTTATCAAGTATGAGTTTACTTACAGTTTCTAAAAAAGTACCATTAAAAATATTACATATTCTGCTCGGACTTGTAACTGTTTTATTTCCTACTTGTAGGTGAATATTACTAGTCAATATATTATTTAAAGAGCCTCTTTCTCTATTTACAAATTTCCACAATACTCTAGGAGTGTTATTTGCACTAGTTATAATGTGCTGGATGTAGTTTGCTTTTGCATTTTTTATTACTACATTATATTCCTTTTTATATATTTTATACTTGTCTCTATGTTCCTGAATCTTACTTTGCATGTAAAGATCATATAATTTTTTTAATTTTGTTCTTGCTATAATAACATCATTATTTATCCAAGGAACATTTAAAGCACTTACAATATTTCTTCTAACTTTTGGGCAGGCTACATTAAAATAATAGTTAAAAATACTAGAGAAAGAAACCCATTTTTTCTCCACATCATTATCACAGAACATTTCAGTCCAAGTTTCATTTTGTATTAAAGAGCAAAAGCCTAATACATTGGCTTCAGATACATTCCTACCCTCTCTATAGCATCTAATTTGTTGTGGTATAGTCATATTAATAGTTATACATTGAGCATAGTGATCTGAGAGTAGGCTGTTAATTACATCAGTGAAATAGCAGTGTGAAGGCAAGTAATGATTTGGTATATAATTGTTGCCATACTTTCAGTTACTCGAGTGGGTATATTTATTGTCATAGTCAGATTAAAAGTATTTATAACATCTAGTAACTGTTTGTGGTCACACCCATCTTCTTGAGTATTTATGTTAAAATCACCTACTATTATAATATAACAATCTTTCTGTACTAATTGCTCAAGAATACCTATTAACTGTATGAAAAATTCATGTAATGCACCACTTGGTGATCAATATAATGCAATAATTGTTATTTTCTTTCTTTCACCTGTTAGTTCTATACCAGCAACCTCAAATGTTTTTTCTATACTTTTTTCTGTAATCCATTTCACTGTTTTATATTGTAATAAATTCTTAGAGCTATAAATAGCTATCCCACCCCCTTTATGTTCTTTTCTACAGAAGTGTGAAGCTACAGTGTAACCTTCTAATGTACATTGAATTATTTCATCATCTTTAAGACCATGTTCAGAAGTGGCCAAGATATCTGGTGTGGTAGTTTGGAGGAATGCTGTAAATAGCTCAGTTTTATTTCTGAGATACTGTGCATTTTGATGTATTATTTTTAATTGTTGCCTGGGTAGAGTTTTTTTTTATTTTGTAATGATTGGAACCATTGTGGTCCAGTCTTTTTTATTACTTTCCCTGACTTAAAAAACCTAAGGCTATCACTTCAGAGTTGATTTCTCTATTATTACCTATATTATACCTGAAGAGGATGGAAGGATCCTGTTCATAATATATGGACCTGTCGTCAGACAGAACACTAATAATAAGAAAACCTATTATTTTACTTATTTCTTGAGTGACATACTCTTTACCTACTCTATTTAAATACTGCCCATGCCTTGTATGATAAGCTCTACTTATATTGCTTAAGTCCATCACTTTTACATTTCTAAATCTTTTACATAGCTTGTTTATGTCCATATTTGCTTTTATAATTTCCTTATTGACTACTGATTCTTTTATTAAATCATGCCTAATTGGTATATTAAAAACCACAACATTCGTAGTGGTTAGTGCAGCAAGTGTTCTCTTTAAAGTATTTTTACAATTCTTTGTCTCATTTCTAGCAATGTTATTGGCACCTCCCATAATTACTACATAGTCCTGAGAGCCAAATGATGAACAATCTCTTAAACAATTCTTCAATACACCTTTTATCTTAGCACTAGGACTTACTTCACCATACACTGAGACATCAATATTGTTTTTACTGAGCGACATAGGTATATCACGAACATCAGTTTATTTTTATTTTTCAAAACATTTACCTTTGGGCAACTTGAAGCTTTCCTTGATTGAGTCTCATCAGCAACTTCATTTAGTGCACTAAATTTGTTTCTCGTTGGAACTAGAAACGGTTGAGTAGCCTGTTTCCTTCTTTTCTCATATCCTTTAGCTGCATAATGCCAGCCAATTTCATTTACTTGCTTTACTTGAAAACGCGTATCTTGTATTCTTTCATTCTATAGAACAGATATTATTTCACGCAAAGATGTTATTTCCTCGAACAACTTACGAAGAACATCGCTATTATCTTCTGTACCAACTTCTGCAGTTACAATAACATCTGGGTTCATGTCACTGTCACTATCATGTTCTGATAATTCCACTTCACAATGAGTATTTTCCTTTTGTTCATAGTCCTCTTCACTGTTGTGTGAGGGGGGTGGCTTAACTTTCTTTGATATAAGTTTCTTCCGGGATCCTTGTAGGTTATTCTTCCTAACATTTCCATCATCAGAACCGAGAGGCAACTTGCGGTCATCATCCAGTGTTGGTGACTGTTTTCCACCATCACTCTGAATTTTCAGTGTTCGCTGATAGTTTGTTGTAGGTTCGAATTTCAGTTCTGCTAATCGAGTTTCTATTTCATCAACCTCATTAATCAACTTGAAGCACTTCTTACAGATTACATTACTATGAACAGAATCCTCACTCATTTCCTGACCCAACACCGCTCCAATAGTATATGATAATGGTCTTTCTGATGTTGTTACTATAGTTTTATGGAAGATCTCAAGACTATTACGAGTTGAGACACAAACTCTACTGTTACATATCAAACAGTGAGTGCTTTTTGGAGCAGCACCTTGCTCCTTTTCCGTGTCTGCAGTCATCATGTCTAGGCTCCTGTTTCTAAACAAGATAACAAATATGAACCGTCTTATTTCCGAATTGACAGCCCAGAACTGACTGTACTAAAACATTTTTTGGGAAAGTGAAAGTTGAGTTGCTCATGGTAGGTATTATCAAGATAGCTGTCTTTGGTGTTGTACCATGTAGTTTAGTGTAAGTTTACTAGCATGTCAGAAGTGCTTGCTGCTTACATCATCATCACCATGATGATGGAAGCAGCAAGACTGTATGAAATATTGGTAAACAGCTGCCACACTATATGGCACAACAACCCAGAAAATAGCCATGTTTGCTTTTTTTATTAGTGCATATTTGCACAGGCAATTCCAGTATCTGCAGTTATTTTTTCATCTTGTTAAATAATGATCCAATAAAAGACAGTAAAGAAGAATTTTAGCTCTTAAAATGTTTGAAGAATATTTTTGATATGCAGTTATTTTTCTGTCTTTCCAGGTCATACTGTGTAACCTCTGCATATGAAACAGTTCCATTAAATAACCCAAGAGTCATTGCTCCTCTCCTCCGACTTATAATAATTAATTGTGATATATTAAAAATGTTTCAGGTTTTGTGTTTATTAAAAGTGGGTTCTTCCACATTGTGTTTATTGTTTAATCCACGTTGTTTACAAATATAATTAAGGGAAGTGATATTTTTGTCAACAGGCCAGATTGCAGAAACGGATCTAGCTACAATTGCAGAAAACTCTGTGGACCCTCCCCTGCCTTCTTCATATAATTCGGATGAAGAGGTATATGTTTGTTGTGGTCTTTTTAGGCACATTTGCAGAGCGGAATATTTGTGCAAGAAACAACTTAAGAACAGGCAAACAAATTTCAATTAAATTTGGCATTGGAAAATTACTTGAAAAATATTAGTAATATATGAGAAATTGTTGAGCAGTTTCCATGTAAGTTTAGATTGGACAGTTTTAATGACTACTTTTCATAATGACATAAATACTGTTTTGACCTTATCTAACTATGACTAGACACCTTTGTTGCCATAGTGACCTGGGGAGGGTTAATTCTCTGTGATGGTACCATCGTCCAGCCAGACACCTCTCTTCATATTTAGGAAGTAATTGTTTTGAACCATGAACCGTAGATTGATTATGCAAGAATTGAGACATTACATTGAAATGGGACAAAATCAGTTGAAGATAACAGCCTTCTGGGATATTGCATTTTATATAGTCTTGTAGAATCTACAAGGCTGTCATAAGAACCTGAAATCTGACACAGAATCAATTGTTCTACCCTACTTCCTTTATTTGAATATCTGTAATGGCTACATTGGATACAGTAACGCGAAATAACACAAGAAGGAAATGTAATTTAAATTGTAATTGTGTACGAAGTTACACCTTTCACTTTCCGGCCCTATAAACCCAGCAACTCACACCCTATTGGCATATTCATCGCCCTGATGACGGAGGCAGTATGACCTCTGAAACGTTGGTTAACATCGACCAGACTACACAGCGCAACAACCCAGAAGACGGAAATCTTCATACTCACCGCTGTGAGAACCTCAAGTCTTACATATGCTGTAGTTGTTGTTACTATATTCACGTAAGTTTTGGAATGTTGTTTCTTTATGATGAATTGTATTTTTATTCAAGGAGGCTGTTGAACTCTCTATCACTCCAAGTATGAGAAGAATTACAGCACGTTCCTCTCCTCCATCTTATCACAATATCATACTTCCGGGTAAGAAATATTTAAATCTTCATGAGTTGAGGATTTTAATTTAATGGAAGTCATTGAATGATTACCATTTCCAAATTTCTGGTTATTGGGGAAACTAGGTTTGTTTTTCTTCCACTTAATCATGCACATTATGTAAATATGTACAAACTGTGGAAGGTTAAATTATCTTTTGAACAGGTTTATTTGTAGTACTCTAAGTGGGGAAGAAAGATGGACAATTGAAGGTACAGTCAAACCCCAGTATGATGCCTATTTGTATACTGTCATCTTCATACTGGACCCACAAAAGCCTTGGAGCAGAAATTTCGTATAGAATTTCATTAATGAAAGTGTTTTCTGCATGTTTTCCTTGAATAGCTAACATACTGTGTGCATACACAATATGTTAAAAAATCACCAGACTGATCACAGAGTAAGGAAGTTAAAGTGCACACATGCAGGTGCATTTAATCACAATCAGCTGAATCTCTGTGAAATGGGGGAAAAGGGCAGTATTAAGTTTTGGTGAGAAAAGAGATGTGTAGGACTGTATTATGCTGCTCAGAAAAATGTTGCCAGCAGTTTCTCCCTTTTATGGGATAAACCTATCAGTTGGCACTGTGCTGGAGATATTCTAAGAGAAAAAAGAAATGGGATAATTTTGAAAGGTGCAAAATATGAGGATCTTGTTAAGATGGGACATGTGAATGTGAAAAATGTAACAAAAACTGATGAAATTAAGAAACAAACAAAAGTAATTGAACAGCAGAGGGATGTGACAAATTTTGTATACAAAATGTATATGCTTTGCTCCAAAAAATGAGGTTATGGTAAGATGAATAATGTATAAGATGGTATTATTACAAAAATTAACTACAGATACATATTTCACAAATTCGTCTTCTATTTCATGCTTCTGATCCCATCTTACAGTATTTTTCACACTATATGGTACTTTGATGTATTAATAAATAAAAATATACACTAAAACATTCGGTTTACCACCAGCCCTGCATGTGATTTGCAATTTATTGATAAACAATGCAAAGAAGAAATTGAAAGTTCACATAAATTGAGATTTTACATTTCAGAAGTCAAACTGGTCACGGATCTCCCCACGCAAACATCAATCAATCAATTAGCTCCTGTAACTCCTAAGTGGAGCATAGGGCATCGACAAACTTCCACCACCGGACTCTGTTCTGTGCCATGGCCTTCATCTCCAGCCAGGTCTTCCCTCCTTTCTGCCTCTACACTCTGCTTCCAGGTGTTCTTTGGCCTGCCTCTGCGTCTCGTGCCTTGCGGGTTCCATTCTAGGGCTTGTCTGGCGATGTTGTTTGTGTCGCAATGCAGCGTATGCCCGATCCACCTGCACTTCCTGTGGCGCACCTCAATGTCAATGGGTGTTTGCTTCGTCCTGCTCCACAGCTCCTCGTTGGAGATGACCTGCGGCCACCATATCCGCAGGATGTTATGCAAACATGGAAGAGCTGTATTCATTTTGTGAATAGGAAATTATTTAGTAGAAACTGTTTGCATAAATTAATTACTTTTTATTTTGATATATTTTAATGGCACATTGGAGATGGTTAGGTAACGATATTTAAATATTGATGGGCTTAGGACAGGTCAAGAGTCATAGGTAGCCGATGTTTCACTGTTCTTGTGAGTCAGACTTGATGTTTGGACAAAATGAGGTGATAAGTTGAAAATAGTGTTTTCTGTTTCAGTTGCTGAAGTACCTTTGGAACGCCTCTCCTTGGCAAGAATCCTGGGCAGGCACAAGGAGGCAATGAAAAGAGATATGTTTTCAGGAATACTCATGAATGAAAACAAGACAGACTCAATAAGTAATTGCGTTAGTGCCACATCTTCACATAGTGACAGAAGTTTGCAACACTTCATCAGGAGAGGCCACACCAGTTAATTCTGTCTGCTCAGTATCAGAAGACACTAAAGATTTAGTAGATATCACACCTGTTATTGAACATGAGTCTAAGCTAACTGACCAGCCATCAACTGAGTATGCAAGTAGGACACTGGATGTAACGTCTTCATCCATTTGTTCTTCAGCTGCAATACCCAGCTGGCAACCAAATAACATTAGTGTAAGGAAGTACCCACCATCTTCACGTACTGAAAATCCAACATCCTATGAGCTACGAAAGTGTCAAATGAATGGTGTCAGTGAGAGATGTCGTTTGGTTGTTGCCTTAAACGATGTCGGCCGTTACCTTCAAAATGGTACACTGAGCAACATTGAACA